AAGCCCCTACTGCACACCCTTTCCTGGTCTTCCCTGGTCTTCCCTGAGGCATGGCAGGTGCCCCAGCGTCAGCCTAGTCTCTTGGGCAGATGGTTGGCCTTGGGGCCTCTACGCCAGGCCTCCCTCTTTCCTGGAGAGTCAGCTGTTTGTACCGAAGCTCTTTTTTGGGCTTCCGGACCTGCCCAAGGTGGTGGGCTAGAGTGGGAAGAAGATAGACAAGAGAAGTGGGACCACATGGGTCGTGTGAGGAAAGAGCTAGAATCAGTGGTATCTTGAAGAAGGTCATTAAAATGATTCCTGCTGCTTCAGAGTGAGTGGTGTCCTTTCATTATTCCTTGAAGTAGATATTCTTAGGCTAGGTGCTTTCTGATGAAGATTACATTAAAGTGAACTGCAGCTCGTCACCATTCAGAGATGGATTCTCTAAAGCTCAGATCTTGTTTCCTTCGGCCGAGGCTAGCTCAAAAAGGCCTTGATCGATAAACATGCCCGGCTTCTCCTTTAAGAACTAAGAACTTCATTTTGAACTCACAAAGGTTCACAAAAATGCCTGCGACCCCAGAGTTCAACTTCAGCATGGAACTAGAAGTTTAATTTTTTATGAGGTTTTCTCTTTACTTCACAAGAAAGACTGAGATGGAACAGGGAGAACATCTTCAGCAGAGAAGCCTCAGTAGTCTGGGGTGCTGCTGGTGGGTGTTGCCACCTGTATGGTACTGCCTGTGGGGAGCAAGAGGAGGGACGAGGGCAGAACTACAGAAACCCCCTTCTGGCCCAGGTCTGGAGCTTCCCTGTTGACATGCAGCTACAGATGGCAGGGGCGGGCGGGGCGAGGCATGTGTGCCTGTCTGCCGGCAGATGATTGACAGACTAATTTGGAGTGCTTTGGAGTGGGTTTATGGAAGCATCCAAAAACTGTGCTCCTCGGAAGGCCAGCCCTTCTGTGGTGGGAAGATTTTACCTTTGTTCTCCCTTGTCCCTGCGTCGTAAGGACTTGCCCTACTCTTCTCCAGCACTGTGCCTAGAGCCGCCTGTCAGAGAGCCCCTGTGGGCTATCTGATGGCAGTGCCCATGTCCTGGGCACTGGGCAGTGCCTGGATCTTTTTATCTGCTTGTTGTGCATCTTTTCCCTCTCACCAGTTACTGTTCCAGCTACTGTTTCCCTCTCACCTGTGCTGTTCCAGTCTTCCTCTTCCATGCTCAGTTTTGCCAGCTGGCACCTTTGTGGTCAGTGGGATTGGGGGTGGGGGGACTGTGAGACTGGTGAGGAAGAAGGGGCCCTTCCAGCAGGGTTTGGGGGTGTGCAGTTTGAGGCTGGTGAGGATCAAGGGGATGCCTGTCTTTCCCTGGCACTGAAGCGACTCAGCAACAGCTCAATCAGTTTGCGGTGCTCCCAGAGCTCAGGGTCGGTGCTGTCTCTGGAGATCTGGGTCAGACACCAGAAGGGCCTCTCCCCAAAGGTCTAAGTTCTGATTCTCAAGGTTTCTTGGTTCCCACAGCCCAAGAAATCATAACTGCTTCCTGCAGCTGCTACCTCTTCATGTCAGTTACCTAGTTGATGTTTCTTCATATTCACTTCTCTCTGTTCAGAGTACCTATGATTTCTTTGCGTATGTGTGTACCCCAGTAGAGGGAGAGCCCTGTGATATCAGGCTTGTGGTGGTTTCTTCAGGGCCCAGAGGAGTTTTTAGCTGGACTCAAACAGGGAGTAAGTAAGTGAATCGGACCTGAGCTGCCGACAGTCCTGACAGGGTTTGGTTGAAAGCCCAGAGCATCATCTGTGATACATTGGAGCTGGGTGTTTAAAGCAGTTGAGTTCCAATGTCAAGCCTAGTGGGGGCATTGGGAGCTCAGGGATGAGCTGGGCCAGCTCCCTCCAGAGGAGGGAGCCCATTGTGTGCCATGAGCCAATGGGATGATGAGATGTTTGGCTTGACTGTACTAGGGCCCTACCCAGGACTGGCCCTGTAGGTGCTGGGTCTCCTTTGGGATCCTGTGTCCTTGGGCATTTTCTGATCTCACCCTTACTTCATGAAAAATGGTTTACCCCTGGGAGAGAGAGGTTTTCGTTTTAACGTGGCAAAGGAGTTTTGCCAACCTGGCCCTGATGCACAATGCTGACAGACTATCCCCTTCCTATGGCTTCTGTGGGACAAGTGACTGTGTTCTTCCTGCAGCTGACAGATCCTTTGGCTTGACAAGTGGGCTGGGTTCACACTGCCTGGCCTCTACTTCTCCAAGGGGCTGAGGCTCCACTGCATGTGAAGGGCCTACACACTGAGTTGGGGCTTACCAACTAGTATGCTGTTGTCCTGCTTGCTTCTGGCTTCACTACACTGGGTTCACGTCCCACAGCTAGAAGTGGACTCTCGGGCTCTTGACTGATGGGTAGCAGTTACCAGTGACTCTGTGTTTCTTTGCACCTGCTCTTGGTGAGAGAGGTCTCCAGTGTGACTCTCACATGAATACAAGGACATCATGCTCCCCAAACTGCAGGGCTTGGGTTTGTCAGTCTCCTGCAAGACTGTTCCACACTACTCTGTGTGTGTGTGTGTGTGTGTGTGTGTGTGTGTGTGTGTTTATTTATTTATTTATACATACATACATACATACATACAAGCACTGGGTACAGTCAGAAGCGTGAGAGGGTGAGAGAATTCACCAGGGCCAGAGCGGGGAGCAGAGCACGCAGAAGGACCGAGGCACACTGCTGAGGGGAGCAGCGGGTGGCAGGAGAGGTCTGCGCGCCATGCGGGACCCTTCTCCAGTGGGTAGGGAGCAGCCGGGGATCTAACCGGCACTGCAGAGGCTGCGGGCAGCTTTGCAACCCGGTGCTCAACCGCTGCGCCACCGGGGAGGCCCCCTATTACTGTGTTTAGGAGAGTTGGTCAGAGCAGTGCCTTAGCCCTGAGCCTGGCCTGCGTCCGTGCTGTGCCTCTGCCTCCCAAAGGATGGCTTTGGCCGCTTTCTTGCCTTTGCATGTGTGAACAAGCAAGGGGAATGTGCTGTTCTTCTAATTAAATTACCCGATTCAGAGTGATTTAGGGCACTTGTGAACTTCCCCACCTGAATTGAATGATTCCAGAGTCGATTTCACAGTCCTTGATTATTAAATTGTCCTATGAATAGTTTTAAATTGAACTGGAACTCAAAATAGCCTCTTAATACATCTGTTTCAAATGAATATTTGTGCTTGTTTTTTATTTTATGGCTTTGGTTATAAAGCACCTAGAGGTGGCAGGTGCAGTGGGCCAATTGTACATTTGAATTAGATGTTGGTATAGACTTTCGAAGATGGCTGAGTTGAAGCAAAATGCCAGGCCCTTGCGCGCTAGGATGTTGCTTCTAGGACTCTGAGACCTGAGACCTGTGCTTGGAGTCAGTCTCCGATGGGCCCAGACCAGGGTTTTCTATCGCATTTCTCCTAAAGTTCTGTAAATGTGCAATTCACACTGAACTTTAAAGTTATACTTAGCTGTTTAAAGAATTACACTGAATTATAATTTTAAAGAACCCCTGTAATCCTCAGATGTGAAAGAGAAAAAATTAGCATCACCGAAGTGGAGACCACCTCCAAAGAAAGCATTGTCTACACCCCTGTGAACCTGGTTTTTTTGAAATCATGTTATCAAAGCAAAAAAAGAATAATTGGATGCCCAGAGTAATGTAAGACTGCAGGTGTCATTGTAGCTCTTAGCCTCAAATTTCTGTATTTTCCTGGTGGTCTCATTGTCTTCATTGATCATTACCTCAGGTAAATGTTGTAAATGTCACCTTATAACATAATCCTAATGATTTTTTTTTTTTTTTGAGATTTTAAGGTTTTCCTCTGGGAAGAGGTACTTGAAGTAATAGCATGAATCTTGTGTTTTCTGCCCACCTGGCATGTGTGCCTTGCCCGTACCATCTCTGTAGGCTGACTTCTCCACCAGCCAACCTCTTCCCTCTCTTGGGAGATCCCTCTGGGAGCTCTTGTGGGGCACATAGAATCACAACTCTGGCCATCATTTGGGACCTGGCTGCCACTGGGCACGGCTCCTGGGCTGGCTCTGAAGAATGTGTGGACAAACAGGTGCAGATGGCCAGAAGCAGGTGCTGAGGGTGGATGGTGTTTCAGACAAGGAGCGGCCAGGATCGCACTGAAGTTGCATCACTGGCATACCAAGGAGGATGGCTGCTAGCCTTGGGGGCTGGGAGCTGGAGATGCCTCTGTATCAGAGGCCCTGTCCTTACCCGTGGTCAGAGGAGATGACTTGGTAGTGAAGGAGGCTGGCCCAAGAGAAAGGCTGTTGTAGTAATGTGGTAAATTGGGGCAAATGTGAGAATTGAGGTAGAAGTTGGGGAGCATGGAGATAGGAGGTGCTTACTAAGATATTGACAGGAAATGCCAGCTGGCCCCATAGCTTCCTTGACCTGGCCTCTAGAGGGACCTGGGACTGTGTGTAGGGGAACTGCTTCCCCACCGTGCTGGTGTGGGTCTGGGAGATTGTGTGGGGGAACTGCTCCCCCACCGTGCTGGTGTAGACCTGGGAGTTTGTGTGGGGGAACTGCTCCCCACCGTGCTGGTGTGGGCCTGGGAGATTGTGTGGGGGAACTGCTCCCCCACTGTGCTGCTGTTGGACTGCCCCCCACCAACCTGCACATCTGTGGCCGACTGATTCGGATGGAAGTGCTGGCTCTGGTAATTTAGCTCATTCAGAAGAGCCGTCTCCCCAAAGAGCTGCCTTGCTGACAATTTTTCCCATTGTGTGTGGAGTTGGTGCTTCCCCTCCCCCGCTGCCTGCCACGTTCTGGGATCACCCTGGGTGTCTATTTGAAATCCAGAAACTCCTGAAAGGCTCTAAGTAGCTATTCAAAAGTGAGGAAATGACAGTGAGCTGGTTGCACGTGCAGCTCTATTTTGGGATGAGTAACGAACCATCCTCGTCTTGGGGGGCTGTCCTGGGGAGCTGTCCTGTGGGCCTGGCTCATTTCTCTGTCCTTTTGCCCTTTCTCTGCAGTGCCCGGGAGCTGGAAAAGGTCCGGCAGCAGCTTCAGGACGAGGTCCGTGAGGTCAGCACTCAGCTGTTGGAGGAGAGGAAGAAGCGGGAGACACAGGAGGCCCTGGCCCGGAGGCTGCAGAAGCGGGTCCTGCTGCTGACAAAGGTATGGGAGTTGAGCCTCCTTGTGGGGGCTTGCTCTCCAGGTCAGAAGCTCCTAGCTCGTTTCCCTGCCATGTCCACGCTGAGTCTCTCCAGGCACCTATGTTTGTCTGGATCTATCAGACCTGGTGCACTTTTGCCATAGTATTTTAGACCCTCACTCTGCGTGGTCTTACTTGTGTGGAACCTCCTGTGTGTCACAGCTCAGGTCAATGTGAGCGCTCTTCTCCCCAGAGGAGAGTTGTGGCAGTTTAGTCATGCTGTGGCTTTTTATCCTGGGTTGTCAGGATTATCGAAATGCAAGAAGGAGTTCGCCAAGCCCCAGTATTGGCTGTTGGGACTCAAAGGGAACTGGTGTGGACCCTATCTTTCTGGAGACCTCTCCAAGTGTCTTAGTGTCCCCTCCCAGTGAGGGCAGATCCTGGGGGCTTCATATATTTCCCAGTGTCAGCCCTTTGCCTTTCCCTCTGTTAGTTCCAGAAATGCAGGGTAAATTGCAGTGGGTCTTTGACCCAGGGCCTGGTGAAAGCTGTCATCTGTGTCCAGATGCACCGGGCGGAATCTGTTCCTGTTCCCAGCCTCCTCCATGGAGACTCGATTCTCTCTAATTGCTCTGTGCTTGAAGAGCTTCTGATGTCTGGTCCTCGAAGCAGAGTTCGCTGAAGCGTGAATTGAGGTTTTTGTGTGAGAGTGTTATTTAAAATGTTGCCTTGGATGCTGAAAATTCACAAGATGAGTGAGGAAAAAGCCTGAATCTGTCCCCAAATGCTCTCTAGGCAAGGGTGGGGGTGTCCAGCTTTCAGCAAGGACTCCTCTTGGCTGCCCTGCAGCTAGTGTTGAATGCGGAAAGATGGTTCACCTGGGAAATATCAGAGCTGTGTCTAACAAATGATTGCCTGTTCTTGATCATGTTTCATGAAAACCTAGGCTCCTTACCACTGAAACCTCCTGGTTATGAAGCTTTGAGAAAACAAGTCGTATCTCAACTGCTAAATGCCTGCTGTGTTCTGGCTTTTCTAGCCTATTCCTTGGTCATGCCATACCATCTCTATGAGGAGGCCCTCATGTGTGTTTTGGCATCAATTAAGATCCTGGTACTTCCTGGGTGGGTCTTAGCCAACCTCTCCACATAGGTATAGGGTGGCTCTTCAGGTGACCCCCACAGGGGAGACATTGCAAATGTGTCCTCAGGTGGCTGCTACATGGAGTTCTCAGCTGTGTTCTGGCTCAGTACTTTTGTGTGGTAGATTATGGTTGCTTCCACTGAACTGATTTCCCACAAGTTTGCTCCACCTTCCCTTCTTCCCCAAACACTGATCATGCATCAACTTCCTGTGCATCAGCTTTGTGATGGCCTCGTAGACATGGCCCTCAAGGATTGATAATCTGGTGGGCTAGACAGGCAGAAACAACCAACAGACACATCTTTGCCAGCCCTGAAAAATACACAGAGCATCATGACAGGAAAGGAATTGCTAGAGGAGCTGATGGTTAAACTGAGACCTGAGGGTTCTGTTTATGAAAGATATGGGAAGAAGGTGGCCTTGTCATTAGAGAGCCCATGACTAGGCCAGGCGGGGAGGTACTAACAGTGTATTGGCTATTGTAAATAATGCTGCCATGACTAGGGGGTGCCACACGTCTGTCATTTCATTTCCTTCAGTTATGTACCCAGAAATGTACTGCTGGGTCATATGGCAGTTCCCAGCACCAGGTCCAGACATGCAGAATGTATGGGTGTGTCTGCCTCTGGGTGCTCAGGCTGGTGAGAAGACTTCCACAGTGGATGGACAGATGGACAGAGTTGCTCAGGGCCAGGGGATAAGATGGGGCAAAGCTGTGGGGCTCAGGTGGAGGGATGTTTGGAGTTGACAAAGGCAAGCAGCAGAGGGGGTGCTGTGGTCCCTGATGTGGGAAGCATAGAGCTTTCCTGGGATAATGAGTAGGAAACCCTTTCTTTGTGATCTCAGAAAAGTCCATCATTCTCTACAGATTTCCCCCCTACAGAAAAAACAGCTCAGGCTAGATGACCCAGACAGAGTCTGTTCTGAGTGTGCCAGTGGCATTTCATGCTGAAGTGGCTTAGTCATCAGCCTTATGGATTCTCACTTGGACACTGCTCATGAGGCATTGTGAAAAATCCAGAAGAGGAAAACAGGATAGAGGGTCCTAAAAACTTAAAATAGAATTGCCAGATGATCCAGCAGTGCACTCTGGGTACATAGCTGAAGGAAATGAAATCTCAGATGAGCGGCATCTCCTAGTCTTGGCAGCATTATTTACAATAACCAAGGCATGGAAACCACCTAAGTGTTGATTAACATATAAATGGATTAAGAAAATGTGGATGGTGGAATATTATTCAGCCACTGAAATTTAGCTAAAACATGGATGTAGCATTACGTAGGGGTATTATGCTAAGTAAGATAAGTCAGACAGAGAAAGACAAATATATACACTATCTCCTTATGTGGAATCTAGGAAAACTGACCTCATTGATAGAGAACAGATTGGTGGTTGCCAGGGTCAGGGAGAAATGCATGGAGGTGATGAAAAAGTTACAAGATAAATTGACAAAGAAAAAATGCAAACCACGGAAGACGTGGTTTGGTTCCCCCTCCCTTGGGAGACTCTGGGGAGCTCCACGCCAGGGTTCACAGCTTCCATGACCCAGACCAGTCCAGCCCTCTGGCCATGAGGACATCACAGATGCTGCAGAGTGCCTTTGAGGTGAGGAGTGGTGAGGAGTGACCACACAGAGTGCCTTTGAGGTGAGGAGTGGTGACCTCGTGATTTTGGGAAAGTCTGTGGAGTCTGTGAAGCTGATTAGCAGGTGACAGGTCACAATGGTAGATTGTTTGGAGGCTGGTGGGATCTATTTGTCCTCCTCCCAGTTCTCAGTGGTGAATGATATGCCACTAATGGCCTTACCTGCGGCACAAAACTCCAGCTCCCTGGCACAGCCTAGGCCCTGATGAGCCGCCTTTCTGCTGGCATCTCAGTCATAGATGTGTGTTAGTTACAGGTGTTCTTAGAACTCTGCCTGGGATGCAGCTGGTGCTCTGTGTGTTCTTTGTGGACTTGTGTGTGCTCAGTCCTCCTGTCTCTTCTCATCTGTCTGGAAAGTACCCCCTTGTTACTGTTCTCTTCACTGATCTCCACATGGGATATCCCCTTCTTTGTCCAGACTCCCAGAGCACTGAGTCTCTAGGGTTGTCACTGTCCAGCTGAATGGGACTCATGGCCTGAGAGCTACTGGCTGTTGCGGGGCGGGGGGAAGGGGGCTGAGCAGCTGGCCTTGGTGCGCTCACGGACCTCTCTAGCTGCCACATTCCAGGCAGCCCAGGGCTCTCAATTCCTTAGTTCTGCCTGCGGCTCGTCCTGGTTGACATCTGGCTGGTGATGGCTCCCATCAGCTCAGGGTGACTGCTGTCCCTGGTGGAGCTCACAGGCAAGTCCTTGTTTGGTTTCAAACAATTACTGATTTTTATTTAGCCTTCAGAATAGTTTTAGGTTTACAGAAAAGTTGTGGAGACAGTGCAGAGTTCCCACATACCTACATCTGGTTCCCACTATTAACATTTTACATTAGTGTAACACTTGGGTGACAATTAATGAGCCCAAACTGATAGACTGTCATTAACTAAAGCCCACAGTGTCTTCACATTCCTTTACTTTTTCCCCTGTGCCCTTTTCTGTTCTGGTTCCCACATGACTTTTTGTCTTCCTGGACTCTGACAGTTGCTCAGACTTTCCTCATTTTGGATGACCATACAGGGGTGAACAGTGCTGCCCAGGTGTTTTATAGATGTCCCTGCACTCACATGTGTCAGGACCTTTTCTCAGAATAACCTGGGTCGAGGGTTTTGGGGAGGAAGACCCTGGATGTCAAGAGTCCTTCTCATCACATCCTGCCATGTGTGCCTGCTGTCAGGGTGACTTGGTCACCTGACTGAGGAGTCTGTCGGGTATCTCCACCAGAAGGTACATCCCTCCCCTTCCACTGTCCCCTTTGGAAAGTAGTCACTGTTTTGAGGCTCATGCCTATGAGTGTAGGAAAAGCTCCCCAGACTAGCAACTCCTTGGGATTTTTCTCAGGGAGATTTGACTCTTTCCCCATTTATCTGTTTATCCAGTCATTAGTTGAAATCATGGATGACTGCCAGAAGGACTCATGGATCTTTATTTTTGACTGGTTTTAATCCAATACTACTTTATTTTGTAGCTTGAGCCACTGGGAGGTCTTTTGGTTGTTGGCTCCTGTGTCCCTTTGACAGGTCCCCAGCAGCTGTTTGTGTGTGTTTGAGGACTCTTTGCTTCTTGCTGTCTGGTGCTGCAAAACTCTCTAGGCTTATCCTATATATTCCCTGCCCCCATCCTAAAGTCTGCCATTGCTCCAGGATCCCTGGTCCTAAATGGTGTTGGAAACCAAGATCTGAGTGTCAGGTATATCTGTTGCTATTGTTGCTCCTTGGCTTTCTCAGTTGTCAGAGCCCGGAAATGTATGTGCACATACTAACTTGTGTCTACTTTTATCTATAAATACTTCTGTGTGGGCAAATGTTTGTGTGTGTATTAACTCATGTACACACTTACTATAAATACTTGTATATGAAAATGGATGTTGGAACTAACTCATTTATACACCTATCTGTGAATACTTGGAGATGTAGCCTACAGGTCTCTATTATACTAACTATGAGTTCATATACATCTGAACCCTAATCCCTCCCCTCAAGGGTCATTCCAAACTCCTCTCCTTGCTTATCTGCCCTTCCACTCTAACACTGAGAAGCCGCCATCCACCAGCTTCTTTGTATCAATGCATTACAGGATCAGAATTGTTAACCTAGGAGATGGTTTTTTTTAAACCTTTCATTTTGAAATAATTGTTGATCACAGCAAGTTGTAAAGATAGTACAGATGGCCCCTCGAGCCTTCATCCAGTCTCATAATGGTCACGCTTTACATAATTAAAGTATGATAACCTGGTGTTGGTGCAGC